CCGATTGCCTGCCTCTACCCGACTGACTGCCTCGACCAGACTGATGTCCTGCAGAAACACACCCGACTGCCTCTACCCGATTGCCTCTACCCCACTGACTGCCTCTACCCGATTGCCTCTACCTGACTGCCTGCCTCTACCTGTCTGCACAGGAGGAGCAGAATCGGGGGAAGCCTAACTGGGAGCACCTGAACGAGGATCTTCATGTCCTTATCATGGTGGAGGATGCTCAGAACCGAGCGGAGATCAAACTCAAACGAGGTGTGGAGGAGGTCAGCAAGCTGCTGGTGCCTGCTGTGAGTCATCTGATTTCTGTCTGACCTCTGACCAAACTCTGTCCTTTGTTATATATGTTGAAGGTGCAGTATAGGTGTGTGACAGGTGATCTGTGTGTTCTCTTGTGTTTCTTTCAGCTGCTCTTGATCTTTTACAACCAAATGACTTCCTATCACAATACTGTGTTAATTTTGTCAACAAAAACTGCGAAAATATTCATTGGCCTGTTTCTTATGATGAAAACAAGGCAAACTAAATGAAGACATTTGAAAATGAGGTAACATTTTTTGCTGACAAAATCTAATGGATAATGTGAAAGATGAATGGACATGAAATACATGAAAGTGCTTTATTTTTATTTGTGCTACTTCAAGTATATTTTGATGCTGATTCATTTGTACCTTTACTTGAGTAGCATTCTGAATGCAGGACTTTTACTTGTAACAGAGTATTACACTGTGGTATTTCTACTTTTACTTAAGCAAAAGGATGTGCTAACTTCTACCACTGGGTGTTTCAGCTCCTCTGATATGACGTTTGACTGAAGAACTCGTCTGTCGTACATGGACATTTTAGGGCTCTTTAATGAGGGTTCAGCTTCTCATGAACAGACGAGATTCATCAGGCTAAAACGAGGGATTTGTGATGAGTCTGTTCAGGTCAGAGTTTGAGGAATCTGACTATGAAACTCTCATGAAAAGTTAATTGAGAGAAATTTAAAATGTTTCTGCTTGGGGCTCATTGTCCATTTGTCAGTGGCTCTCATTTTGAAGGAGGGGAAATATTTTAACCCTGTCTGAATGAAGCTGCACTGCACAGTGTGACTGTCAGACAGTGAGACAGGAAGCACCCCGATTTTGCTGATACTCACTTCCTCTACTTTCACTTCCTTGATTTCATCCAACCAATGAGGAGCCAGGAAAACTGTCACTGGGTGAAAAAAGAGGAATAGAATCTGATCATGTGGTGTGTGAGGAGATTTGTAAAGTTGGTTTCATGTTGACATTAAAAGTTGTGCAGAAACTGGTTTGTAGTTGAACTGAGGGAAATTGAGAACATTAATTAATTTACTCATTGGCTAATTAGCTAATGAACCAATTGGGGAGTCTGACAAGCTGTGTGTGAAGACACACTCATGCTCAGGTAAAAGTACACATTCATTTTTATTTGTGATGTGTAGTACATTTACCTAAGTTGTCATATTACAGGTTTATTACCTTTGTTTACAGGTGTACAACAGGTGTATTACTGGTGTGTATTACCATGTTTGCAGGTGCATTACCTGTTTCCAGACTTCCAGTTCTCAGCTTCAGACAGACTTTGGTGACTCCTGTGGTGTCAGGAGACTGCCCTGATCATTATAAACACATGCTGTTTTACAAGTGACTTCCTGCTTCCTGTCCACGCCATTGTTCTTCTGTCACTGCTGGGATTAGTGTGCCCGTGGCACCCCCTGTGGCTAAACGTGGTAACTACAGAGGTCTAGTCTGATGCAGGTTAAAGGTCATGAAGTTCAGTCTGTAAATTACCACTGATGTCAAATATGAACTCTGCACAGTTAGTTTGTATGAAACTACAAATCAATACAAATTATAGTCTGTTAGCACTGCTAACTACATCAAATAAACTCACTCTAAACAAAAAAAAAAGTCATCAGTTATAGATGAAAAATACATCTGACTTGTAAAACTCCTGGAAATGGAAACAACTCAGAGACTGAAACATGATGAGGACACAACTGATGTACTGTCTGGGATTACCAGAAAGAAAAGCTGGAAACCCTGGCTGACAGCTGGGACCCCTAGAAAATCTCGAAATGAAATTTCAAGAGGGCTTCAAAAATGTGCCAAATTATTTTGTATTTACCTACACAATTCATTTTAACTGTATAGGTAATTTAAATATATTGTTGTCTATACAGTTGTTTTTAAAATAAAATGAAAGTATAGGCCTGTTGTATTCACCGTCCTTATGGTATTTGACCAAAAGTGATCCAGAAACAGACTGTGGTTTGTGAGTGGACAGGCTGTTCAAGACGCATGCATTGCCCACCTTATCACCAACTACAGCTGACTTTGTTGGGATTAAACTATCATAAAATACATAAACAGACAACGTATATCCTGTGGTACTAGCAAAGGTACGTCTTTGGGCAACTTGATCTTTGTTGAAACTGTAACTGAGTGAGTGACAGCAGTGCAAAGTGAGGTCAGACAGACTTTACCTGCCACCAGTAACATCACTGGGACGCTGTAACTGACCGTGGCTTTTGAGCTGCTTTCATGTGTTTTGTTCACTGATGTGAAGGTGGATTTGGTGCTTCTGGAGCATACAACAGCATTCACCGCAAAGGTATCCACCACTACGCCAAGAGGTTTCTGCTGTGGCAACCCCCAAAGGGCAACTAAACACCCTCATCCTATAACATTCTGCTCTGCCAGCATATTTAAAAATGGAGAAGGGGGTGTGGCCTGGCTGCTACATAATGTGTCACATAGAGGATCAGAGGACACAGGAGACACCGACCACTGCTCACACAATAGCATGGACAGAGTGAGCCCCAGCTTGTGACTTGAGTGTAATCCATTCGAGATAATTCCAGTAACCTCTGAAACTGAAAATTGCTCACCGTTTTAACTCTGCACCACTGTTTAAGGATAAGGATAATCACCTTTATTGGCCAAGTATGCTACACACAAGGAATTTGTTTCTGGTACATGAACCGACGGCAGCCATCTGCGGCGCCACCTCAGCCGATGGCTCTAACTATCACGGGCAACGGGGCGGTTCAGTGTCTTGCCCAAGGACACTTTGACACGTGAATTGCAGGCACCGAGATTCAACCTTCTGGTTGGGAGACGACTGCTCTACCCACTGCACCACTGTTGCCTCCCCAACACATGTGTTTGACAACACATCTGAATTCTAAAGGTATTTTCCAAATCGCCATAGACTCTTCTAATAATGTGGGATCAAAAATAATGACGTCACCACTCTGGCTTTGTGTGAAAGCCACTCAACTTTCAACAAAAAAGTCTGGTCTGACAGTCGCTCTGAGGATTTCATCCTGGTCCCTCACAGCAGTCAGGGCACTGTTGACTATGACATGGAGGTCTGTGCTGCCCTCCAAGGATCTGCCTCCCCAGACCATCACCGACCCACCACCAAACTGGTTATGCTCGATGATGTTAACAGGCAGCATAACGTTCATCACGGCGTCTCCAGACTCTTTCACATCTGACAGTTTGGTCAGAGATATGCACACAAGTAGCTGCTGGAGGTCATGTTGTAGGGCTCTCACAGTGCTCCTCCTGTTCTTCCTTGCATAGAGGAGCAGACATGGGTCCTGTTGCTGGGCTCTTGCCCTTCTATGGCCCTGTCCAGCTTTCCTGGTGTAACAGCCAGCCTCCTGGTATGTCCTCCATGCTCTTGAGACTGTGCTGGGAGACAGAAAACCTTCCTGAGACTCCACGTATGGATGTGCCATCCTGGAGTAAATGGACTTCCTGTGCAACCTGACTGGGCTGCAGGTACTGCCTCATGCTACCAGTAGTGACAAAGACACTAGCAAGTTGGCTGGGTCGGGGATTGAGGGGTAGACCTCTGGGTTTTGTTGAGGTCTTCATGATTAAGGAGTATTCAGCAGAACTGAACTTTAAAATCCAAACTGACAATAACTACCAAGCACTGTTTTTACACACAATATGAATTTTGTTGTGAGCATGTGTCAAAATTCTGTGATTAGGTGTGCAGCTAAAAAATAATTTTGTGTGTAGCAGAACAACAACAATTGTCTCTGGAATGTATGTAATGTGTTGTATGTGTGTTTTCATGTTTAAAGACAGAAGATGTTCATTTGTCAACTGATCAACAGACATCACACATAAATGTGTCAGTGCAGTGCAGGAGAACATCTGTTGTGTTTATTTACGGATGTTGTTTGTGCGTTTCAGGCAGAGGGGGAGGACAGTCTGAAGAAGATGCAGCTGATGGAGTTAGCGATCCTGAACGGGACATACAGAGACGCCAACATCAAACCCTGTAAGACACAAACCAATCAGAGTTTGACCAGAGACTGACTGACCAATCAGAGAGAGTCTAACTCCTCCTCTCCCCCTTCCCCAGCCTCCCTCACCTTCTCTCTTGCAGCCTCCACTCAGAGTCCTCGTGTCCTGTCTGGCTCCGCCCACATGTTGGCCCCGCCCCCCACCCTTCGTGCACCTGCCCCCACAGGCCCTGCCCTCATGCCTCTGATTCGTCAGATCCAGACGGTGCTGCCTAGTGGGACACCGGCTCTGATGCCGGGGGCAGGGCCTGAATCTAGTCTGATCTATGCTACGCCATATGACTACCCGTACGCTCTGGCAACTCCAGCTTCCCTGTTGGAGTACCCCTTGGACTCTGGGGCGGTGTTAGGTAAGCCCGCCCCCCCATGCTCCTGCGACTGCTCTCCCACTCCCCATCACCACCCCCACAGCCAGTGGAGCCCCGCCCCCACGCTGCTCCTTAGGCACACCACCTAAGGAAGAAAAAAGTGCAGCTCCTCCACAATAAACACACAGCAGCCCCCTGACGATGAAACACCCGACTGACACACATGCACACGCCTTGTGCACAGCTGAAACCTGCAGCGCCTCCTGCTAGATGGAGTCATGAACAGTAAACTGGAGGTCTTCACAGCTGCTCAGTGTTGGACCAGATCCTTAACAGATCCGAGGAAAACCTAAACCCGAGATTACACAGAGAGCCAGTCTGAACAGACCCGGAGACAGAGCTGATCCAGAACCTGAACAGACTCTGATAAAGACAGGAAACTGTAGCAATGTCAGAATAATAATGGCTTTATTCAAAGACTCATTTATAGGAATAATGTTTAAATGTTTTCACCTGCTGTGGAAACAATAACAAACTCTGTCGACAGCCACACAGAAAACAATAATTTCAGTTCAGTTTAATTCAATTCAGTTCGAATGACGTCACTTCACAACAATCACCTCAGGGCACTTTATACAGTCAGGTCTAGACCTCACACTATTATAAGAAAAGCCCAACAAATCCCCCTTGAACAGCACTCGGTGACAGCGACAAGGAAAAACTCCCTTCAATGGAAGAACCCTCTGACAGACCCTGACTCTTGGCGGGCAACCTTCTGCCTCAACAGGTTGGGGTTTAATCATAATTATTTTTAATAAATCAGTCAGATTCATTGTCAGCCATTTACAGGCTGCTGATTTCCTAAAATCCTTTTGCGTCCTGTGATTACGAAGTGATCAGAGCCAACACTGAACATGCTCCGATCCACACTGGCCCACAGACCTGAGATCTGACTGGGTCTAACTGAGTCTTGGTCAGTTGACCAAGTTTGACCGGTACAATAAACTGTTTACATTTATAACTCCACAAACTGTCCTGAAGTTAAACCAAGATGGACAGAGTGCAAGTATGTCTCCTCAGTGTTATAACTCATCAGCTAAAATATAAAAAGTTCAGATTTATAGAACTGGTGTCTGTCCACAGGGGGGCACTGTTCTGTTTCTCCAGCACTGTGTTTTTTATGTAACCTTTATTGTAGGTTGTGGATGAGGCGTTCAGGAACAAGTGTGTTCACTTTCTACTAAGTTTTAACTACTGTAGGCTTGTCGTACAGACAGAACCTTTAACAAACCGATGATAAGACTAGAAATGATGCATCATGCTTCCTGCACTGAAACATGCAGCTCCTACATACAGTATCTATAACTGAGGCTGTGAACTGAAGCCGACATGCCTCCATGTTCTGATGCTAATCGTGGTTCCCAGACCAATGTTAAACAACAAATGAGCTCTGTAGCTGCAGTCTGTGTTTTTGAAGATGTTTTTAGAATTGACCTTCATTAACAGTAAAACCAGCAGATCAGAGCTGTCAGGCCAACATTTTAATTCCATTCACAACCATAAGCCCTTGAATTTAAGTCACTTCATTAATACAAGTCTGACTGGTCGATATCAGTGACACAGTTGCACCACAAGCATTTCAGTCGTGTTTTTGATCACGCCTCATGCAACCTTACACTCCTATATTAATCAGCCCAGCTGTCTACAGTGGCCACATTTCTGCTCACTGTCATTCGTGCTTTACCCCATAGCTGCGACCTGAAGTGCATTTTCACACTTTGTCTATTTTTCAAGGCTACGTGCATAAAACAGTCCACAATATCCACCCTAACCATGAAAGATCACTAGTTCCAACAAGAAATCCACCAAATATAAAGAAATGCATCAAGCAAACAGTTTTAACACAATCTGTTACACAGGTCCTGTTGAACATGTAGTTCTTTTAAAGTGTGTGTAGTTTTCATTTGCTGTGTTTTACCACAGACGTGCTGTCCAGCACAGCCAGTGTTTCCCTTAGTGTCCACTGTCACAGGTTTGGACCATAGTTCTCCCTTGTGACGTGCGTTTCTGTAACTACCTCCTATGTGTGGTGGACGTGCGCCCGGTGTAGACACAGGTGCGAGCTTCTAAAATCTAAAAATTTCATGACTTTTCTTAAATTAATAAAATTTTCCTCAAAATATTTTTCTACCAAAGTAATCTCCCAAAACATCACAACATGATTCTCTAAGTGTGGCCCTAAGTCAGAAACGTGGCCGTCATAGGCCGTTTGTTGTTTAACTCAGCTGGGAGCCTCTCTGATCCCACCTAGAACCAGAACCCACCTCCATTTGTGCCTTAACAAGTATTTCTAATGTGTCACTCTGTGTAGTTGTGACGATGTGCCTGCCTGTGCACACCTGTGTGGACTGTTGTGTGGTGATGCGGACAGGTGACTCCATGTCTTCTGTGGTGGTTTGTGGTGTTTGTATCTGGTCCAGATTCCGGTTAGTCCACTCAGCCCCGCCCCCTTGACTCCAAACTTATCTTTCCCATAATCCACTGCTTTGGCCTGAGCTAGCTTCTGCTCGCGGTGTTTTCACACCAAAACAAACAGCGTCCAACAGAATTCCACAGCTAAAACTGTTCTTGACCTTGACCAGCTACAAGTTCCGCTTTGATCAGAAACAGAGACAGCCCTAAAAAAAAACAACAACACGCTTTTAGGTGAGATCGATTGTGTCCATGTTAACAGTCTCCAGGAGTACAACGTAAAAGCATCATAAACCAATCAGATCTCTTCTTCTTCTACTTCTTTCAGTTCACAAACAACAAAACAGCACCACAGCCGACCAAACAATTATTTTACCATCACAAGCTGGCAAAGTCTACATCCATCCATGAAATTAGCTTCACTAGCCAGTCAGGAGAGGATGGAGACGGGGTTGCAGTCATGTTTCGCTTTCACGTAATTGTGGAAATTCAGTTTTAATTTGAGCTAAATGTGGATTAAATCTCACCTGCGATATACTGTACCACCCACCACTGCTCACAGTGTTGATTGCTGAAGGATAAAACAAGTAAAAGGATGCCAAACAGAACCGAGACAAATAAAGCCCGGACACTGGACTTGACTTTACCGGAAGAGGTGTGAAAATGCCCCACAGGTAACAGAACAGGTGGTTTCAGGGAGATGTAGTCCTGATGTGTGATGTTTGTACATCGCAGGCTTTGTTAGAAATGTTTTTAAAATGACTTCCTGCTTCACTGTTTTGAAGACATCATGGATCACGTGATGTTGACGACAAATAAGGCAGCACTTTATTTACAATCCAAGCATGAAAACATTTTTCTAAATCCCGTCTGCTCCAGATTAGTTTCATCTGTACGTCCAGGACATTTAGCCTAGCTTAGCACACAGTCTGTAAGCAGAAGGCTAGATTATATTTGGACTTTGGATGTAAATTAAGAACTGTCTAAAGTGGATGCATTAATGCAACAAAACACTAGCTTGCTACTGTTAGCATAATATTGGCACTCCCACCACACTCATTGGATTTCATTGACAGTTTCTGAACATAAACAGTTTTTTATCAGTGGATTCTCAAACTTTTTTCATCTTTTGACCAAGCTAGGCTAGCAGTTTCCCTGTTTACAGATGTTGTGCTAAGCTAGCTAGTCCTTTCCCTCTTTTACGGCAGGATGTATTAATGGAGAACTGTATACAGCATTGCTAAACAGCACCCATTCATTCCTATGAAAGTTGCTCAGTGATGCGTCGTCTGAAAAAAACTGTCATGCTTTGGAATCCAGCCATAAAAATTACCTGGATGTTCTGAACGCTTCCGTGCTTTTGTGTCGAACTGAGTCTCCCCCCGGATGAGCTGGGTGACTTCCAGTTTGCTCCACGCTAGGCCTGCACGATTATGGCAAAAATCATAATAATGATTTTTACGGTCAATACCGAGATCACGATTATTCACTGACTTTTAAACTTTAAAAAAATCATCTTTTCACAGTGTTTTCAATTTAACTTTATGATTCAATTGAAGAACAAAAGAAGAATTCCATCTACCAAACTGTGATTGACAGTCACTGAAATTACTGATCACTCTACATTTATCTTTACAAATAAAACTTTGTGGCTTCAGGTTAACAGTACTGCCTGTTGTAATCTAAAAAATAAATAAATCACTCATTCCACTGAGCTCACCATGACACAGCCACATCTACAGTGTCTTGCTCAGTCTACATAGTCATCTTCCTTTTCAGCTTGTTCATAACAGGCTCGCTAAAGTTAACAATCTGGCAATGCATGGCAGACTGCAATCATCATCTCTCAGCTAATTTAACAAGTGTTTTGATAGATTACTCTTAGACCCAGCAGGTGGAGTGAAGCACTACCAATATGGCGACAGCCAGACTCGAGTTTCAAAACCGCTCT